GGGGCCGGTTATGTGTAGGGAAGGTACTAAGCACCTCTACAGCTCCCTAAATCGGTACCCTATGATGAAGCTAGGATGTCTACATGGTTATTTCTTTTTATTTGAAACAATACTTGTGAAAATAAAGAAGTATAGAAAAAAGAAGAGTATTGAATGAAATAACTCTTGATTGAGATGCTAAAAGAATATAATGAACTTCATATGTTGTCAGCTTTTAATTATTTTGAAAACAGAAACTAAGGCATGATCTTTTCTATAAGTTTCGATTTAAAAAATAATTTAGTATGGTTACAATGATCTTATTGGTTAAAAATGTCAATTTAATTCAAGTTCAAAATTTAAAATTTAAATCTATATCTTATTGAACAAGATTAAGCAAACAATTAACTAGCTCATTCAATATCATCACATCTACACTATCTAAATATTATACTTTATTGCAGAGAAAGAAAGAAAAAAGGAATAGCACAATAATATAAAAAATCATAAACTTGCTCTTTGTCTCTCACTTTTTTTTTTGGCAGAGAATTTATCTCACTTTATAATTAGAAACATAATTTCCATTTATGTTGTTTGAAGATAGATATTTTCATTTAGTGATGTAGTTTGATTTGATATATCCTCTAAAATTTAAATTAAAATAATTATTTGAATAAAGATAATTTTAGTAATTATTGTTTAGTTAATAATAATATGAAAAGATCAAAAATCTAAAAGTTATAAAGGAAATAAAAATAGAAAATTTATTGCAATCAAAAGCTTGAAATGAAACTACCTCAGATATCATCCGTGTTTGCAATGGTGCAATGACTTTTAGCTTCACACTCATGAATCATGATTATCTTCAAAGACTTCAACAGATCTCTAACACTGCATGAGCACAACATCAAATATTTATGTTGTGTTATAAAAAAGTATTAAATATTTTATAATACAACATAAATCCTATCCATGACACTAGCTAGAGATTAAAATGAGCATAGGAAATGCAATTAAAAAAAGAGGATGTTACATTAGGGGAAAAATCACCTTGGTTGAACAAGTTCGCTATCTAAGTTTTCGCTTGTGCTTGCTCTTGAGATCAATTGCATCAATTTATCACCTGGCATTAAACAATATATATATATATATAACAACAAAGGATCATTATTATATAAGTAATTTTAACATATAAGTAAAATTGATAATGGCATTTTACGTGAAAGCATGCAACTTAAGTAACCTATTTAACTACTATAAAGAATAATACCACAACAAGATACATAGAACCTGATAATGAAGGAAGCAATAAACCCTTTAAAACAAGAGTAAGTGTCTTCTAAAATTTTGTTTAACATGTGCAACCCTTCACTACTATTTACTATATGGATAGTGTAGCTAAATTAGTTTTGTTTTGTTGGGGATGAACCCTCTCCCTTTCAAAAATATAAATAAATAGAAAAAAGAATCTCTCTCAAAAAATAAACAAATAGAACAAAAGAATATCAAGATGGAAATAAGTTTGAGTAGTGTTGTGTGATGATGTATGCACTCATAAAGGGTGGAAATTTCAATGTGGCTTTTGGGAGAGTACCATGATCAACAACAAAAAACAAAAATGAATAAAGATACTTAAGAAGATAATAGAAGTTTAATCTGTCATTTATTACTATCTTGATTTTGCTAAAGGGATGCCTGATAAGAAAGTCAAGAGCATTATGATCATTATGAAGATCATTACTTCCAAAAAAATTTGAAGATCATTATGATCTTCCCACTCATTTAGAAAGGGGAAAGTATACATCATTCTTTCTATACTAGAAATGAAAGGAAAAAGATTAGACGAATATTTGACATAAAGATATTAATAGAATAATATTATCAATACATTTATAAGAATTTTTTTACCTTGAGGACAAAAACTCCTCATAATGTTTCTGTCTTTGTTATATTCAATCGCTACTCCGAAATTATTCACCTCAAATTCAAGAATCAAAGTTTCAAAACATTGATTTTTAGAATTTTTTTATTGATCTATTTCATACCCTTTTTTGTTATATACAATAGCTGCTCTGTTTATAATTTGTTTCTCCGTTATTTCAAGAGTACAACACAATAGTATACACTAAAAGAAGTTCTTAATCATATAATACATTAACGTTTAGTTTATCCCAAAAATGGTTTTGAAGAACATCTTGAACAACACACTAAAATGGTTTTCAAGTTTGAGCAATCAAGACTTGTTTCATAGGCAATGTCAACCCAGAGGATTTAAGGACACTCAAGGTTAAAAAATGAGTAAGAACGATAAGTTGCTGCCTTCAAACAGAGAAAACAATTAGAAAAGTACCTTGCACATAGCATTATCTTGAGCCTGAGGAGTTGCAAACTTGCAATAAATCCCGCAATCTGTATCAAGAAGAAACTAAACTGAGACAGAGATTTGTAACAGAAGTATCAGGAACCATAGATTTATCTTGAATTTGAGGAGTTGCAAGAAAATCCAACAATCTGTATCAAGAAATTAAACTGAGACTGTTTTGTAACAAAAGTATCAAGAACCTTAGCATTATCTTGTAAACGAGGAGTTGCAAGAAATGCAAGAAATCCAGCAATCTGCATCAAGAAATTAAACTGGAAAGCAAATTTGTGATAGATACCTAATTAAATCTGTATCAAGAAACATACCTAATTAAATATGTATCAAGAAACACTTTGTATCAAGAAGCATCTTCTTTTCTTTGATATGCTTGTACTGTCCTCTGTCACCACCCTCTACCACAAAATCCTCTTCTCCATCATCCATTACATCCGAGGTCTTGAGAGTTGAGCCCATCCCTGTTACTTCTCACCATTTTTCCTTTCTCCACTTATGTTCACCATAAACTGTGATCTCTGTAAATACAATATAATACAGAATGGTGGTGTAACTCATACCATTTCTATTTAAGTTTAATTTTAATTAAAAAGATAATATGATTTACCAAATACACCAGAGGCTAGAAAGAATGTATTTTATAAATGTGGTTAAAAAACAACCGAACAAAGAAAAAAAAATACACGTTCAAGAATTTCAACAAGAAAGGCTTTTCTTCACTTTTGAGAGAGAGAAAAAATTCAATTTTAGAAACATTGAATAGCTTTTCCATTTCAATCAAGAAAGGGTGCAGCATTCAGTTGTTGACTTTCCTTTGGCACCCTGGCAGTGGATGGAGACAATGACCACAATAAGGGTCTGGGAGACAGGCATTTCCCTTGCATTGGAGAAGCTCTACTTATAATTGTGCATTCTAGTTCTTGAGTGGAACTTTGAAGAGATAAGAAACGGATGATAGATAACTCAAAAACAGATAGGAACTTTTAAAAAGCAGAGACACAGTTAAGTGTTTGAGACGTGTGAATCCATTACATAGAGACCACCAAAAAATCCCTCAGCCCAAAAAGTCCATTTATGAAAAAATTCATAAAGTCAAAAGGCCCACAAAAATAGAAGTAATATTTTAACCAATATTTATGTTTCAAAAAATTAATATTTTAACAAAATAGCCATTTGTGTAAAACAAAAGCTAAAATGAACATCTCTCAAACCAAAGTAAGAAAAATGCCATGCACTCGCCGTTAAACGTTCAACTGCTTGTGAACCATATCCAAGCTGAAATCAAAGAAAGATAAAAGATAAGTGGGGTGTTGGAATTCTGGAAGAATCTGGTAAAACAAAACCATAAACCAAATGATAGAAGTTACCCTCGTGGCAATAAGGTGTGCAGCAATGTGTACAATGCGAGCACCTGAAAGTGAGGGAAAAACTGTGTCTCGAAAATGCTCACAGAATTTCCATGGTATTTGATCTCCAAAAGGTTTATGACCGTTGCTCAAACTTTGGATAGCTGACTGATCAGATATTGACCCCTCAAGGCAAACCTGAAAATAAAAAGATATGAAATATGTGATGTCACAACAAAAAGCAACCTTAAGAAACAGAAAATGGGACAACAAGCATAACCATCTGTAGCATGACCATAAATAACAAGAAATTACAAACTTAAAACAAACACCATGGAAAGAAATGGAAGTTGCAGCTGTGTAAATGAAATCATGCAACCACCATAAATTTTAAATAATTCAGTTAGTCCTCAATTTATATAGAAACGGAACTGCAAGCTTCAACTATTTTAAACAATTAAAAGATATTGTCCTAGTTCATAGATAGTTTCAGAATCAAGAAATCTGTTTCTTACAAACTCCTTGATGTGACATGTGTGTTGCTTTGTAGAAGGCCACAACACAATTTTAGACAATTTAACTCTAGATCTATCTTGGCAATTTAACTTATAATTTTTGTCGGTGATATCATGGCTTGTTCAGTTCAACGACATGTTTCTATTTCCTGCTTTCACTAAATAATTACCAAAAACACCACCTTGTTTTCAAAGATTTATACAAATGAGGAAAGCATTCCTTTTGCCATTTCCTATACAAACTTTGAAAAATAGAAAAATTAAATTAAATTATGATAACAAGGTGAAACTCTTGTAATTATTGGTAAAAACAAATGTTTTCTTAATCCTTGAACCAAAAACTCCTTTAGTTCTGTTAGAACAGAGTGGGCAAGCAAGCCCCGTAATGGACGCCAATAAGACAGACACAATATACAGAAATGCTGAAAAAAAAAAAAATTACTTAAGTCAAAGATGCATACCTGGATGACACAAAATACCATGAAGATAATTCTTCGATTCATCAAGCGGTCCTGTCACACAAATATCATTATATGCCCAATGCAAGTCATGTCGGGTAAGACAGATGGACCAAAGCAGAACTAGAAAGAAAATCATGTATACCAAGTAATACAAAAAAAAAGTAGTGTGCTGAAGCATCTACCATCAGTTGCAGATCATTTGGAGAATTCTTGTAATGCGATATAACATATATGGCCATAATTCGCTGCAAGAATGACAATCCTTTAGCACCCCATTTAAACATGTGAAAATATTAATCACAAACCACCCAACATCATCAGATAAATCTGGTCTTACCTGCAAAAACAATTCACAATCTTTGTGATAGGAAAAAAGAATATCCCGATTAACATAGTATAGATCACACTCACTATGAGGTAACCTAATTTGAGAACAAAAGAACCATAAATGGATATTGAAAAAACTTTCTCATCTTCCAACAAAACATGAAATAAGCTAGAAATAATCTCTAAGATTAGGGATGGCATTTGAAACATCTAAGCAAAGTAATGTGTTGAGCCAAGTTTCAATAGGATCCCCAAAAGTGTATCTCATGGGTTCACTCAGTTCTCTTTTCTTAAATAGACAACCTGAGAGATAATTTTTTTTTTTTTTGCAACAACTCATGCACCCTTTAAAAATATGTGCATCACAATAATTTAATGGATTTTTTGAAACCAAATATCTTAATTTCATAATCCATTTAGGATGTATTTCCATTATGAATTGTAGATGACATGCACGTTGTTTATTAAGGTGATGTTTTAAAGCTAGTAGCAAAAATAAGCACCAGAACAGAACCAGTGCCCTCTATGCTCTTGGAAGACATACTGCTTTGCAATTCCAATTGATGCAAAAGCTTTAGCAATAAAGAGCATCCAGTACCTTCAAACCTTTTGATTTAAAAGAAAACAGTTTTTTTCAGTTCTCTTAAATGGAGAGACATATAAAACATTGTTAAAGAGATGCAGGAAATGGCCAACAATAAAAAATGATTAATAACTCCCCTTCAGCATAAGAAAAAACAATAGTCATACCTATTAATAGTAGAAGACAGGAAGATCAGATATGGGCCAAGCAAAGACTTACCACCAGCAGTGGAATAGCAGCAGCTTCTTCAACAACCAACAGCTCAACTTGTGAAAGCTTTTCATGCTCGTGTGGCCATATATACTGAATGAAATTGAGAAGGAAAAAAGAGGTCCTGAATTTCATTTACTTGTAATCTCACAGCAATGGTAAGTTTCCTAAACATCAATACATTTTTAAAGTTAAATATATCAATGCACACATACACAAAGACAGATACATAGCACATACAAACATAAACAAACAAATATAGACATAACACACACCAACAAAGTCACAAACACACCCACACAGAGGGAGTGAGAGAGATACATACACATAGAGATAAAAACATAAACTAGACACAAACAAAGAGACATCCAAACACAGATATAAATTACCATATACAAGTAAAGACAAACGCATATACAAAGATAAAGGCAGGGCATACACATGGAGAGACACTGGCACAAACACATCACTTGCAAAGTAACACATAGACAAACATAAAAACTGAGCAAATGCATAAACATAGAGACGAAGACAGCGCACATACACAAAACATAGATACAAGGCATAGATATGCACACACGTAGAGACACGCAAAGACATATAAGCACACACAACATACAAAAACAAGACACAAACACACGCAAGTCACAAACAACACACAAATAAATAAAACATAAAATACACATCATCACAATCTTAATCACAATAACAATAACAACAACTAGAATTACTAATCCATCGAATTGAAATTATTCCAATTCATTCAAGCATTTCACATCATTTCACATTGAACTGTTTGATTTCAAAGCTAGATTTAAATCACAAAATAGTTTTTTAAAACTAATTTTAACAAAATAAATAATTTTAAAATTTATTTTAAACAAAGACTTGGTTTTCTTTATATCTATTTTAAAACTAATTTATGGTTTAAATTCATTGTGAAACCAATTTAGTTCTAAAACCTATTTATGGTTCAAGATCGATTTTAAAATCAGTCTAGCTTAAATATATATTTCAAATCTTAAACCAGTTGTAAACTATTATAGTTTTGAAAACAAGTTTGAAACAATAATCAAGTTAAAATTGATTTAAATTATAGACACTTTATCCCACTTTTTAACTCGTTAACATCAAACGTAAGTATGCTGCTGTGGTATACCCACGGATAATAAATACGCGGATCATAATATAAAATCATTATCATTGTACATATAAGAAATTAAAGAAATTGGCATACGCACGGATAATAAATTCACCGATCATAATATAAAATCATTATCATTGTACATATAAGAAATTAAAGAAATTGGCATAATACCATTAATATGAACAAAACCTTAGGCAGTCTTGTACAATGGTTGCAATGTCACTGCTTCTTGCACCCGCATCTCTTCAATATGACAAATGGATTTTGAAATTCTTGTATCTGATTGAAATAAAGGGGAAAAAGCATAAAGAAGATAAAAGCTTACTTCTCTGTGGAAAAAAAAAAAAAAAACAACAACAACAACAACAATGTTAATAATAAAAAATAAATAAATAAATAATTCAAAATATTATTTACAAAGTAGACCAAGGCTAGAAAGAATGTATTCTATAAATGTGGTTAAAAAACAACCGAACAAAGAAAAAATAAAACATAAAATACACCTTCAAGAATTTCAACAAAATGACTTTTCTTGATTTTTGAGAAAAAAAAATTACAGCTTTAGAAACATTGAATAGCTTTTAAATTTCAATCAAGACGGGGTTTGTAACAAGTCCCATTATGCTCGTTACAGGGTTCATTTTCTATTTGCACAAAATCAATATGTCTTCTTTTCTTGGTGCTTCATCCATCAAAATTAGTCCTGTAATGAATTTATTAAGAGGAAGGAAATAAATATAGAGGATAAGAAATCCTCCTTAGTATGATGGCTACAAAAAGTAAACGAAGGAAATGACTCGAATGAGAATAAAGAACACTGATTCAAGAGTCAAGAGTCCCATGAAGGAAGCGACGAGGAGAACAAGAGAGAGGGGAAAGTACATGAGGGCGAGGCCGGAGGACCAACCGAAGAGCTTGCCGATGTTGCTGGCGGTGGCGAGGACGGATTTCAGGGAAGAGGAGTAGTCGGAGAAATGGAAGTTGGTGCCGGTGAAGGCCTGAATGGCAACCAAGATCATCCACTTCCGAGATTGCCCCGCGAATAGGGAACGCTTTCTTTCTTTGCATGTTAGCCACACAAATTTAATTTAAATATATAAAAATTCCCAATATATTAAAAAATAAATATGTATAGTACAGTTGCTATTTTTTATTATTGTTATTTTTTTAAAATTATATTTTACATTATTTTTAATTAATCAATAGTTTAATATTTATACTATAATTAAACTCATAACATAATTCTAATTTTACTTTTTTTTCTCATGTTAGTGCATACCTTTTTACGTAAAAATAATTTTTTTTTCAATATATTAGTTTTGCGGTACGGATTTTCACTCACTCGTTGGTCTGCAAAGCCCACAGATTATATTTCATATAGGGATGGTTTAGCCCAAAACAAATTATATTCTCTTACGAACTTTTTTTATAAAATATTTCTTTTTTTATAAATTCAGTTAGTGAATTATTCAATATCGTTGGTCAAATTTTATATAAATTGAATATTATATATTACCTTAATATTTATTTATATTTTAAAAAGTATAATATATAATAAATCAAGTTAATACTAAATATTATATAAATTTTAAATTATAAAATTATATATTTGATCTATTTAATGAGACCTCTCAAACCAAAAAAATTATATTAATGTAATTTAATGTCTATAAATTCAACCACAAATTGACATACATAATTACCATCTTTAAAATAATACAAAAATAAATTTAAATAAAATAAACATATATATAACTTCTATTTACTTGTTCTTTTAAATTATATTTGTACTTAAAATAAAATTATCGAATAAATTCTTAATTTATTATAAAATTATATATTTCATAAAATTAATATAAAATCTTCAAATTTAGTTATTCAATCGATAAAAATCAATTTTTATATAAATTTATTAAACAAAAAATTAGAAAAGGACTTATTTGTGATATAAGTAAATATTGTTTTTATCTTATTTGACTAGTTTATTAATAATAAATGTGTTTTAATATATATTTGTTAATTATATAAATTACTTTTTTTTTACAATGATCATGAATCTTACCATTCACAACGAAACAAATAGGATGATTTATATCTTGATTCAACTATTATGTCCTAGAGTGTTTTTATATATCTTGTATATAGTTATATATGTTATGTTTTTAATCTATAACTATTATAAAGGGAATATAGAAGATGTAACCGCTTTTTGGTCTCCATTTTTTAATGAACCATTATAACCCCAAATATAAAAAAAAAAAAAAAAATCTTAAATTTCCTTTAAGGGAATATAGGAGATGTAACCGTTTTTTGGTCTCCATTTTTTAATTGTAACGTAGTAGGTTAGGTGATTCAGTAGCCCAGAACGGGCCGTTCCAAACTACTGAATTAACCTATAAAATGTAGTTGAGAACGGACCGTTCTGGAGGGAGTACGAGTCGTTCCAGAGGGAGTACGGGTTGTTCTGGATAGAGAACGGGCCGTTCTGGATGAGTCCCAGAACGGACCGTTCTGCATGTAAATTTTGTACTTGGTGAAGGGGTGCAGAATGGGCCGTTCCGGATTCGGAACAGACCGTTCTGGCCACTCCTGAACTTCTATAAATAGAGTTGGGTGGTTGAGGAGAAGATGAGGTTTTTAGAGAGAAGTTTTATAGAGAATGACTCTGGACTAAGAATTTTAAATATGTTGTATATTGTTGAAGTTGTTTATAAATTTGTTAAGTTATATTAAGTTGATATTGTAATGATTATAGTTGTTTAATTAAGTTGTTTGCATGTTGTTAAAATTATTAAAGTTGGATAGTTGTATAATTGAATAAGAAGTATAATTACATTGAGATGTATGATGAGTAGAAAGTGAAATGAAGAGATGCATGTTGAGTATAAAGTTGAAAAGTTGTTATGTTGTTTAAAGTTGTTAAAAGTTGAGATTGATGACTATAATTGTTTATTGCTGTAAAGTTGTTAAGTTGTCTATTGCTGTAAAGTTGTTAAGTTGCTTACTGTTGTAAAGTTGTTAAGTTGCTTACTGTTGTAAAGTTGTTAAGTTGTCTATTGCTGTAAAGTTGTTAAGTTGCTTATTGTTATAAAGTTGTTAAGTTGCTTATTGCTGTAAAGTTGTTAAGATGCCTATTGTTGTAAAGTTGTTAAGATGCCTATTGCTGTAAAGCTATCTTGTTGAGTTGTAAGTTAATTAAGCTGTGACGATAAGTTGTTGATCACTAGGACTAGGGGAGATGTTTTCGAAGTTGTTCATCCCATTGTGTGGATTGAGATAGTTGTGGTGCTCTGAGAGCCCAATTTGTTGAAAAACCCTCCTTGGGAAGTTGTCCCTTGGAGTGGTCGTTGTGTTGTTTTCCTCTAGGACTTAGTTGATCCCGTGTGTGGGCAAGGTCGAGGCACACGTGTACAAAGCGACCACGGTATAAGGGCAAGGTCGAGCTATACCGATTATAAAGCGACCACGGTATAGGGGTCAGGTCGACCTATATCGATTACAAGTGGCCAATTTGAGTAAAGTATGAAGTCGGGAACTTAGTTCCTAACCGAATACTATACTTCCTAGTTTAAGTGGCAAAGTCTGAGAAACCATTATCGTGTTGTGGATTGATATTCAAATGTGTTGTGTTGTCGGTTTGGTAGGACCTAGCCACTTAGACTACTTACTATGTTGTAGGAGATCTCCGAGTCGAAATGTGTGACGACGCATAAGTTGTTAATGAGTTGATTTTTTGTTAATATGAGTAGTACATACGTTGTTGTGTTGTTAACTTGTAATTGTGTTGTATGTTGACCTTGTTGAGGATGATGATAGTGCTGTTATATTGTAAGTTGCTTATTTGTTTACAAGTCGTGTGTTAATCTATGATATTGTTGAAGCTAGTTGAAATTAAGTTGATAAGGTTGCTATATGCCATGTGTTGAAAAGATATTACTTTATGATGATTGAGTTGTAAATTATGAGTTGAGCTAATAAGTTGTTGAGTTGATTGTGTCATTTAAAGTTGAAATGATGTTTAGATGTATAGTTGTTATGTTGCATAAAAAAATTATTATGAGTTGTTCATTGTCTCTAGTTTACCCTTGCATGTTTCCATGTGATTTGGACTGCGATGATCATACATTGTATGGGAGCAGGGCAGGGATAGATTGGAGATAGCTGCTAGAGGCCACAGGAGGTGCCTGGAGATGGATATTTTTTTTAGGCTACCTTGTAGTAGCATATTTTGTTGTATATAACTAGTTGATGTTGGTTGCTTGATTAGCAACTTGTGTTGTAAATATTTTATTCTACTATTATATATATATATATATATATATATATATATATATATATATATATATTTCAGTAGGGTGTAGTGTTGTTACATTAATGGACCATTATACCCCCAGATATAAAAAAAAATCTTAAATTTTCTTTAAATAATTATACACAACTTTCTAATATTTTATTAGTGAATCACTATTAGAGGCACGAAGTGCCTCTACCCCTCTAGTGATCATAAATCTTACGATTCACGATTCAAAAAATAGGTTTTCCTATACATTATTTGTATCCCGATTCAACTATTATGACATCAATTACAAATTTACCATCCTAACAATTCTGGTGTATTTTCTTCTAATTATCCTCTTCACAAAGGATAATGTCTCAAAAGAAACCATTGTTACCAATTACTCATTAGAGAGTTGTTCTTTTTCTTATAACCAAATTAAAAAAAATCATGGCCCAATCTCTTTTAGACATAAAGGAAACCTCCCAACTAGCTAAATGATCTGTCTCACAACCCCAAGCCTAAGCCATAAAAATTCCCAAATAAACTTCTCAATCTTAGTTAACTACCATTCCAAGAACAAACAGGTCACTCTACAATCTTCTCAAATATCAACAAGAGCATCACAAACAAATGTAGGGCAAGGATAATCTCCTAAGAGAAACACCTAAAAGTAAAACACATGGAGTCATGGACAACTTATACATATCTACCACATCAATTTGAATTTAGGATAACTTTGTAACTATTCTTATATTTGCAACAGTTATGGCTTTTTTGGTCTATTACGACTATTAAATATTCTTATGATAATTGAGAATGCTCCAAATTACCAAATATTTCAAAAACAGTATTATTTATCAAATATAAGATTTACCTATAGATAATAACCAGCAATACTAAATGCTCTTCCAACTCATTTACATCAACTACCCTTGAATGACAACAGTTCAAGCAAGGACAAATAATTCTACTAGGGTTTTTGGCATGCTCAACTGCAAATCTGCGAAACTCTTTCAACCCATCCTCATATTCTTTTGATAATCGATTAGCAAACGTCCATTTTTGATCCATAACTTATCTATCATGTTATTCATTGATTTATAGTTAAAAAATAAAAACACAAAAAACCTATATGTTCAAAAAGAAAACCCAATAGATTTCATAAAATTAATTAATATTAGCATCCATGATTCTTCTTATCAGAAATTTATTTATTTTTTCCAGATTTGGACAAGGGAAATTTAATTATTAACAATTGGATAACAAAGGCATGTATAATTTAGACATACCTTCTAGGTCACCTTCCTAATAGTAGTCTCACTAATATGCAACAACTATAGAAATGGAACAATGCCTTCATGTGATCCACCAATAGTCTTTCTAGCATAGAGAGGAACAACCTACATAGTCATAAATCAAGAAACACACATCATATAAAAATTGTTTAATAAAAATGAAAAAATGAAAAATATTAATTGATGATATGTTTAGTTCAAAACAAGAAAAAAACAAGAAAAATAGATTGGCTATTTAAAACACGTCTCTAATATATTTATATTAATTTGTGATTACTAACAACTAGAAATTGTCGGTATTAGAAGCTAGATTCTCTTAGTTAGTCATTGTTATAAAATCTAAAGTCTTATTTTTTTCTCAACCATCAAAGTTTATTATAAAAACATTAACTTGACAATATCATTATGTGTTACATCAACATACCATCACATTATAAGTATTATCTCAATATAAAATGTCATGTTATCAATATATCAGAGGGACTTAAAAATGAAAAAAAAAAATTGCATGGACTAAAATAAAAGACTTATAAGTCTTAAATAAAATGTAAAAATTTAATTTAAATTAATATAAATTAAAAATTAAATATAAAAATATTTTTTATAATTACTTTTTTCTCGTCTTTTCTTCAATTTCTTCCTTATCCAACACTAAGGTCACTTATATGGCATACATTTTCTAAACTTACTCATTTATCACACACCATTCCTTCTTAACATGAATATGCACATACTTCCCTGGTAAAAAAGATACACACTACATCTTTAGTGTGAGCACTCTTAACCTATCTTATTGCAGCCTTATCTTAATTGCAACATTAAAGGTTATGGTTTAATCTTAAGAGATATGTCTGGAATAAAACTTATTTCTTGATACCACTTGCAGTTCGTTTAAATATTATTAATCTTCAATCTCCATTGTCATGCTTTGACGACTATCAGCTTGCTAGCTATAGAAGTCGGTTTGGAGAGAGTTTTTCACTTTCACTTCGAGTGAGCTGGGTGAGTTGGACAGGAAAAGCTTAAGAAGAAGTACCGCTACCAATCACACATTAAGAAAAAGCAATGGCTGTTTAATAGTTATACCAAGTTTAATAGTTAATTATACCTCTAAAAGAAAAGGCAATGGCTATATTTTAAGTTTTAACAGCCATTTCTTAATCCTTAATAGTTAATAACAACAATAATATTAATAAAAAAATTATAAAATAATCAACAAATGTTTTTCTAGACACCCATATACGACAAAAATACTCGAACAACACCTTTAAAAAATTAATTAAAAAATGGGTGTCTTTTGAAAATGGATTGTCCGAAAAATAGAACTCTTCCTGTACTTTTAAATAATTAAGTCCAAATGTTAATTTGTAAATAAGATATTTATTGAGCAAGTTTCTTAGTCAATATATGATATATTTCACTAATATGATAAATATATATATATATATATATATATATATAAATCCAAAGTGAAAATTGAGATATAAACTAATGTACAGATAGTCTAAATTAATAAATAGCTTGAATAGCAATATATATAAATCCTACCTAATGTCTTTTTCCACGGTTGCTGCTTCAGTTTCCCCTGTGATCTGTTGAAGTTAAAATTGAGATACCCTTTTATAGTTGTATCTTCAAACAGTGACGGATCCACGTTGACACCAGTGGGACACTTGCCCCACTACTATTTCATACATACATAATTTTTATTTTTAAAAAATAATATTTTAAAAATAAAAATTATATTTTAATAAAATAAATATATATATTTAAATTATTATGTGTATAAAATATAGATTCGTAGAAGAGATTTATTTATTTGATGTCTATCAAATTTTTGAAGAAGATTAATTCTCTTATATGATAAAAAATACTCTTTAATAA